ATAGTGAATCATTAATCCTTGATTGTCATCGTCATTGATTCACTCACTATAAAAGCCCTTGTCCAAAACTGAATGTAAACTCACTTCAACTCAAGCAACACTGCAAACGTCGACTATCGCCTTCTGCACGACTTCGCTCACTCGCAATGGCGGCTTTCCCTGTGACATTGGAACCAACAACGATCAGCGTTCCGGCAGCTGGAGGCAGCATCAATCTGCTACTCACGAATACCAGTGCTGAGGTGACAGCTTTTCTTTCTTTATTTTACTCATCTTTGATTTGTTTTTAATCAGTTCCGGCTTTTTCAGATCCGCTACAGCTTCAAGTGCAAGTCTACGTGCAATGAGTTCTACCGAGTCAACCCTGTCTATGGGTTCGTCGAGTCCGGCACCAGCACACAAGTGGAAGTGCTTCGTCTGGTATGGAGCTTTCCTTTCAGTTTTAAACTTCCTAAAACAACAAATTTAATTTTTCAGAATGGACCTCCGAAATCGGACGATAGGATGGAAATCTTGCTCGCGCCCGTCGACCCGGACATCAACGATCCACGTTCGTCATTCAGTGACGGGGCAGAACCAGCGCACAAGTTCGACATCCCCTTGGCTGCTGTATGAGCAACTCCAGAACGGGAAGCGAGAATGAAAGGAAACGGATGAGCAGGATGTGTAAAGATATATCGCGGAAAGGCTCTAATTCACCCATAAATCTCTCATGTGATTGTATAACCCTCGCTATATTTGTTGAATGTAACTATTGTAATTGTATATATATATATTGTCATGTATATATTGTCATCTTTTGTATATGTATGTGATTGTTGTATATAAACTTGTTGTGTGAATAAATATAAATTGATTTGGTAGCTAGTTTAGGGAAGGATATTGGAGGTAAAGGTAGATTGGGGGACTAAAGTTTTTTAGACATGTCCACCTATTTATCCACAAAAAATCATGTTGATCTTCTGGGTAAACGTTGTTTGGTTAGTTTATTGTTATTGTTTTTAATTTTTCCTTCCTCCCATTGAAAATCATTTCCTGTATTTTTTCATTAAAAACACTTCTTTTTCGGATTTTCCTCAACTACAATTGTTTTTCTCTTTTCTTTGTGGTGTCCGTTAAGTATTTAAAAAGGGAGAAAAAAGAAAAACTTTACTTGTAACAAAGGGAGAGAATAATCAGAATTTAATATTCTTTCGTGGATTGTGGTCACAAATGAGTGAAAATATATTTTTTTCTTTCTCCAAAATATTTTACCAAATAAAAATTCAATTAAAATTTGAAGTACGTTCCTTACTCAAAGATGCATACGGCCCCAAGGGTTATGCTATATCAGCCAGATTGATCTGGTAGAAGTCGAGAAAATCGAAAATTTAGGGTGAAGTTCAGATAAGGTGGAGCATTGTAGTAACTACTAGGTTTGTCGGTTCTGAACCGAGCTGAAGAACCGATGATTTTTCGGTTTAGTTCCGGATATCCTAAGATTTTTCAAGAACTAAAAACAAATTAATTAGATTCAAATTATTAGATAATATTCTGATTTATTTTAAATTTAAATTAAAGGAAAATTAAATGGACTGAAAATAAATATACATACCTACTTAACTTACATACATATAAAAATTTTAAAAATACAAAAATGAATTTTTCTTCTAAATTATTTTCAATAATCCCCCTTTTTGTTTTAACTGAAATTTGTTTTGCTGTCAAAAATTTGACACTTTTGAGGATAGAACCTTCAAAAAGACAAACATATGGACAAGCATTTGGAGGTTTATTAAATAAAATAAACTAAAAAATTTTTAATTTTAAGCTGTTGGTCCAGCTACATGCGGACCTTTACCTGCAGGATGGTTAGAAAATTTGAGAAAATCTTTTAAAAAATCTGAGAAAAAATCTCATTTTCCTGAGATTTTTAAAAAATGTTTTAAATAACCGAATTCTGCTTATGTAAATCAAAAATAAAAAAATTCTGTAATAACCAAAAAAACAAATAAATTCTATTTATTAGCGCTGCAATGCCAGTAGCAGCACTTCCTCCAGCACCAGCCGTCTCAGCAGCACCAATGCCTACTGGAAGACTTATTCCACAGGTTTTAAACAAAAACATCCTTTAATGTTTGTATATTTTTGTAGGCACTTCCAGGCGCTCCATGCGAGCCAGGCGTTGAATGTACTGGAGGAAGTGTTTGTTCACAAGGAATTTGTAAAAAAATTAAATTAATTTAAAAATATTTTCAAAAAATTTTGAGGTCTTTGCCCGCCAGAATTAGTACAAGAAGGGACTGTTTGCGTCTCTAGAACGTAAGTACCGTGTTTGCTAAAATAATTACCCAGTGTAATTATTGTTTCAACCTCTCGTTGTAGGGGTAATTATTAGTGAGGGGGTAATTATTTTAATGAGAAAATGATTGTTTAGACATAAATATTTCTTAATTTTACTATAAGCATATGAATAGAGATACATAATTAGTGTAGGAAATATAGGGGGTAATTATTTAAGCATATACGGTATTTATATACATATGATCTTTTTTTGTTCCAATATACTTAAAATTTTATTACAGAGATTCAATAAATATTCGAGATTTTTACTTAAAAATTATTTTAATTAGAATTTACGGTGTTGTGCCTCCACCTCCTGTTGTTGCTGCTGCCCCACCACCGCCACCACCACCAATTCCAGTGGCATTTGTAAAATTATATTTAATAATTAAATTTGGGTGATTTTAAAATAAATTTAAATTGTTCCAAAGCAATATCACAATATATAAATTCTGATTTTATATTTTAAAATTATAATTAAAAGTATGTATATCAAATTATTCTTATTCTTTTCCAGTATCCACCACCGCCCCCACTTCCACCACCCATTCCAGCACCAATTGCCCCAGCCCCAATGCCAGTACCAACAGCAGTTGTTGCCCCCTACCCCGTAGCAGCCGCAGCAATTCCAACTCCATGTATTCCTCCATATGGCCGTTTTCGTGCTGCTTGTGTTAGAAGTGCTGATAGAAAACAAAAAATAAATAAAAATTAAAAAGGTGGGCACCTCCCTTTAAAATTTAGAAATTTTTTTAATAAAGGGAGGTGTCCAAAAATGTTTAAAAATAATTAGAAATTAAGGAGAACAACAAATACAAAATGAAGGAGGAATTTTATATAATTTGGATGATGATGCATCTAATTCTATTGAAAGAGATGTTGAATGGAGAAAATAAAAATAATTTTATATATTAAAAAAATACATATTAGGAATATTGTAAAAATAATTTTTTCCTTAATAAAAGAGAATTAATTTATGAATATTTTGGGAGTTATTAACTGATTTAAAAGTATTTTAAAAAATATTCTAATATTGAGAAATTTCTTTCTATTAATCAGAATTAATAAGGCATCAACAATAGTTCAGAGAATCGGGATTTCAATCATTTATGGATTTTGGAGAACTCATTTCAATATTATTTAGATGAGTTTTACTTAAATTACTCCCACAATAGATCAGTGTCAAGCGTTTTGTTCCGTGCATTTTATTCTCAATGTGGGAGGGGCGCTTGACACTCGACAAAACGCTTGACACGGATGTCATTTTGGGAGTAGCCTTATATTTTTCAAATTATTTTTTAAAATTTTCGAAAAATTTTTTAGTTACCATATACTCTGTATTGTCTACTCTGAATCGTCCCTATTTTGTCCGGTTAAGGACGATTCAGTATCGCCGATTCAGTATATGGCCATAACTTTACTGATATTCGAACGATTTGAATAATTTTCATATCATTCGAAAGGTCTCGAGATTCGACATCTTTTTCATAATTGGCCCGATCTGTTTTATCCATTTCCGGCCTAAGTCTTGAGTCCACAAAATTCCTTTCTTAGAAAGCTCTATAAAGCCCCTTTAAAAATATTTTTAGGTTTCATTCCTCGATGCTGAAAGCATTCAAATCCCATCTAAAACAATTAACATCATGTCTCGGCATTTTTAAATGTTGTTTCAAATCAAATAATTCTATCCAACCACAACCTGAACTTGCTATAAATTCAATTATGCCATTTCCACTAAATGACCCAACAAAAACTAATAAAAGAGTAAATAATTATAAATCAACCAAAGCTTTATTGACTGGACAAAAATTAATTATTGGGAGAGAAGAGGAACAACGAGTTTATTTTAATGAATTGCGTAAAAGTTGGGATGTGCCACCCTGTGAAATGAAAAAGAAATATATTAAATATTAATTGTATGTATTAAATATTATTATTAGGGTTGGACGTAAATGTTAATTAATTAATGATTAAAATTATTAAATGTTAATTAATTTATTTATTTGATTTAAAAGATATTTTAATTATTATTTTAAATTTTTAAATAACCGATTTTTTATGCCTGTGACGTCGTTTATCAGTGATAACTTTTTGTAGATTGATCAGATCAGGTCAGTCCAATTATGAAAAAGATGCAGCACCCCGAGACCTATCAAATCATATATAATAATTCCGACAATATTGATCGAGCAAAAAGTTATGGCCGAAAAGCCCAAATACTGAATCGGCGATACTGTATTGTCTACTCTGAATCGTCCCTATTTTGTCAACGTTCAGTTTAAGTCGTTTTGAAAAATTGTTCTTTTGTTTGGGAAGCTTATTTTTTTGTTTACTTTCCCAAAAAAGATTAATTGGGTCATTTCTTATCATTTTTAACTCATTTACCTGTTATAAATGAACTAATAATTTTATTTTGATATTCTTCATTTTTTAAATTTTTATCAGAAAATGGCCCGCAAAAATGCAAAGAAAAAATTAAAACAAGAAAAAGAAATTAATGTGGGCAACAGAAAAACAGAAAAAATTGAGAATGATTTGAAATCGAATGGAGGGAAAACGACAAATAATTCGAGAGAAGTTAATGGTTCTGTTAATAAACCCTCAACGTTTGTTTCTTTTATTTTAATTTTTAATTAAGGATTTTTAAATTGCCCGTTGGAATTTTGACTGACTGAGAAGCCAGGGCAGTTAGTTATTCTTGGCTTTATAATTCTTCTGAATCTTTAAGGATTATTTTTCATTTTTTCGAAAATATTTTTGTCATTTTTTTAAATAAATTACCCAAAATTACCAAAACATTCCCCAATTTTCCTCAATTTTTAGAGCCAAAAAAATCACAGAAAAAGACAAAAAACAAACTCAAAACGCCAAAAATCACCAAGCAAATGGTACTTGTATTGTAAATGGGGGTCTACACACTTCTCCAAGTATGGCAAATTTAAATGAAAGGCAAAATATTGTTTTGTGGAAACGACCTTTTCGAACTATGCAATATTTTATGTTTGAGCTTCTTTCAATTATTTGGTCATTCTTTAAAAGGTTTTTTTGTTTTTTATATTTGATGTTATGTTTTTTGTTTTTTTCATTAGTTTATCTTGTTGTAGTTTGTTAGGTTTTGGGTTTGGTTTAAGATTGTATTGAGCAAGGGCGTATCCAGGGAGAGGCCAAAATTTGTTGGCGAAGGCCAAAAACGCCAAAATTTTGGCGCACCCATTTTAGTCCCCTGAACTCGACCCCCTGACTACGCCCTTGGTATTGGTTTGGTCCCGACCTCGTCCATTTTTAGCTCATTTCCTTCAAAGGCTTATATCACTGCCTTATTTAAATTCTTTTAAAATTTTTCAGTCTTCTCTGCATAAAACGACTTGTTCCAGCTATTTTATTGCCTTCATTAATTGCTTTTTTGTATATGGTGCCCGGTTATCACACTCAATTTGTACATTTATTTGAAAAAAAGATGTTGTGGTGTCTATATTGGCTCGGTTTGGGTGTTCTTTCTTCTGTTGGATTAGGGACTGGTCTTCACACATTCCTCCTTTATTTGGTTTTTATTTTTCTTTTTATTGATTTTTATATTTTTAGGGACCTCATATTGCTCGTGTGACTTTGGCTGCTTTTGAGTGCAATTCTCTCGACTTTCCAGAACCGCCCTATCCAGAAGAGTTTGTATTTTTTAAATTATAGTCTTATTTTTAAACATTTAAGTGTAACTTGTCCAACTTCACAAGGATCAGTGGTCTCGGCAATTTCTCTTTGGGCAATTATTAGCAAGGTAGCGGTTTAAATATCCCAAATTTGGATTAGGCGATTTAATCATACAACGTAACGGAAGATTTTAATTTCCCTGAAAACGTTTACTATTCTTTTCGAAATGGGAGTTCCCTAAAAATCGACAAAAATTATTCTTTGATTACCAAAATTTTAAAGGTTCGATTAGAATCGCTAATGTGGGGAGCAGGCACAGCATTAGGCGAATTGCCCCCTTATTTTATGGCTAGAGCTGCACGTCTTTCGGGTGAACAACCAACAGATGATGAAGATTATAAAGAATTTCTTTCTATTGTGGAAGAGGGTGATTCTAACAAAAACATGGTAATTAATTTATTTACACATAATAACTCTAACAATAAAGTTTTAAAAGTCCTTGTCCACTGTTTTATTACTCTTCCAAACTAGTGATCGAGATTTTTGAAAAGCCTGTTCCTGGATTCTGGGTTTGATTTATTGACCTGAGCCGGATCCTGGGCCTGTAGTCCAGGAAAAACCCAGGGAGGTAAAAAATGCCTGAACTCGGTACAGGAAAAACTCAGGCCTTGTTCCAGACCCAGCTCGATCACTATTCCAACCTGATGTGAGTTTTTGTGGAATCTTTCGGGACTACGTTTCTTTTTGTAGACATTTCTAGATTTTGAGTTTTTTACAATTCCGAAAAAAATTTGGGGGCATAGTTCATCGACTACAAGACTAAATTTTTGCCAAAAATTATTTAAAATTCAATTTTTAAGTCATTAATGAACAAAACAAAGCTTTGGATGGAGCGGGTAGTTACTAGAGTTGGCTTTCCTGGAATTTTGTTATTTGCATCTATTCCAAATCCTTTCTTTGATTTGGCTGGAATTACTTGTGGACATTTTCTCATTCCTTTTTGGACATTTTTTGGTGCAACGCTTATTGGGAAAGCTTTGGTTAAAATGCATGTACAGGTTTGTATTTATTTTATAATTATTGAAATGATTAATTTTTGTAATTGGTTTTTGAGTAGATTAACTAAAAAGAATAATATAGAAAATTTTAGTCTGAAAAGAATTTTGGGGTTCGAGGAATGTTAAGAAAATTTCGAGGGTGCTAGTTGATTATATTTGTTGGGCCGCTTTTTTTAATTCGCTGCTTGACCAGACAAATAGGAAAAATTTGAGGATTAGACTAAAAAATGAAAATTAAACGTTCTGACTGATAATTATTTCCGCTCACCCTTAATTTTAATTAAAAATTATTTTAATATTTTTTTCTTATTTTTTAAAATTTTTTAGATGCTTTTTGTTGTTCTAACATTCTCAGAACACCATGTTGAACATTTAGTTAGCCAATTGAAAAATATTCCACATATTGGCGCTTTTATCCACACTCCATTGAGGGAATTTCTTTTGGCACAAAAATTGAGATTACACAGAAAACCTGGGGATCCAATTCCTATCCAAGCTTCGAGTTTATTACAACAAGGTTTTTTTAATTTTAAATAATTTTTGAAAAATATTTTTTTAGTTATGTCCTATATTGTCTCTGCAATGGTTTGGAATTTTAATTTTTTTTAATAATTTTAGAGCGGTTAGGAAAGTCAGAAGGGACTAATAAAACTTTGATTTTTCATTGGAATAAAAATACTGACTGACATTGGGATTTTGTGGGATCCATATCCTTAACTCGTCTATATTTTTAGTTTTTGGGACTTATTCCGCGTAATCAAGTCCCTCAAAAACTTTTAGACACGTCTTGAATGTGAGACCCCGAACACGATTTTCCTGGCCATTAATTAAGACTGGTTTTCTCTCTTTATTTTTCCTCAGAAAGTTCTTTTAAAATTTTCAAAAAAAATTTTTGTTAAGATTCTTTGGTTTATCCTTTCTTTGGTCAATTCATTAGCACAACGTTATCATAAAAGACTTTTCGATTCTGACAAAAAGTTTGCACAACAAACCAAAAAAATTAAATAGAAAAACGACAAAAGGATTGGGGAAAAAAGGAAAAAATAAGTTTGTGATTTTAATTTGACTTTTCTTTTTAAATTTATTATTTAATTGTATTTTGATTGATTATATGTAATACATTAATTGCTCCACAAAATATTAAAAATACTTTCAATAGTAAAAATTTTGTTTGGCTGTTTTGAGAATGATTCACCTTAGAGCATTTAAGATACTTAGGCGGGGTTTGTACGATCTAAAAGGATAAAGGAGATCCCTGGGGCTCAGTGCTCCTGTACATGGTGAACGAAAGCGCCTAGCAATAACTATGAGAGGAGGTCGCAGGTTCGGTGGCTAAACTTGCTAAACTCTTTCCCTGTCATTTGCCTAAACAGGGTAAAATAATTATTTGTTAGTCCTTAAGACATCTATTTTTAGATCCAAGTGATGTATAAGGAAGTCCCCCCTTGTTAAAGACCATCTAAAAAACATTAATTCATTTTATATTTTATTGTTATATTTTAAGTGAATATTTATTTAGTAAAAAGTAATTCGTCATTAAAACACTTCAAATTTATAATAATCAAAAAAAATTATTTTAGAAATAGGCAATCCTCTCCTCTTGTTTAAACAAAAGAATTGAAAGGGGGAAGGGTCACGAGTGCCGCAATTCTTGGCATTAATTTGTTTTTTTCTTTTTTAAAAAGGGTACCGTAAAATGAACAAATAATTTTAAAGAGGATTTATTATTATTTCCATTTTTCTGCCACTTTTTGCCAGGAAAAAATTTTATTTTAAAAATCCTTTTTTTAGTTTTCGTCATTTTCCGTCATTTTTTGGTTTTGTTCTAATCTTTTTTGAGAAAAATATTTTTTGATTGAACGGGTTTTTAAGAATTATTTTATAGTTATTTTTTAAATTTTAAGTCCTTAAGAGTTGGAAGAAAGATAGGAAGAGAAGGGTAAGTAAAATGAGAATTGCCTATTATCTCAGTTAAAAATTAATTTTACAAAAAATTTTTTGCGTGATTAGATACTCCCTTTAATTCTTTATTTAATGAGTATAAGGTTTGTCGGATTAGTATTTTTTAATATCCAACCCTAACTTAAATAAAAAAGTTGCAACTTTCTCTGTTGGTTTTTCTGTTCTTTCCTCTGGTCCGGAAAATTCCGGAAGAAATAAAAAATAATGTTAAAATATTCTGTTTTCGTCTTTCTAATTTATCGAAAATATTTTCCGGAAAGAGTGAGAGAGAGAGTGCAATAATCTATCTTTAAATAAATCCGGAATAGACAAATTATAATTTAAGGAATTTTAAGTTTTAATCAATTTTTATCAAAAAAATATTATTTGACTATTTATTGCTATTTAATATTTTTTGTTGTTTACCAAAATTATGCAATAATCAACAAACACAAATTAAGTATTCCCCCTTTTCTCCCATAAAAACATTTATCAAACAAAACTTTGTGGGGTTCTCTCATTTCTTTTGAAAGGGAATTTTTGTTTTAGATAAATTAATTGACTAACTTGGAAAAAAAATTTTTTAATTAAATTTAACAACAATTTTTAGTTTTGGCGTTGAATTTTTAGAAAAAAAATTTTTTAGCGTTCACTCCTAATTAAAAAATATTCTTTTAAGATAATTTCTTTAAAAATCCATTTTACGAACAATTAATACAAAACTAAAGAAAAATGGAAGATTCCAGAAATCAACAACAACAAGAAACAACAAAAATTGAACAAAAACTACAAAATGGACCTTTTTTTACTGAAAAAATGGAAAATAAAAATTTATTTGCCACGGGTAAAATTAAAAATAAATTTAATTTAAGGAAACAATTTTTAAAGATTTATTTCCCCATAATCCTCGTGGATGGGAAGAAACTTCGAAATTTTTAAAATCAATTGTTGAATTGCTTTTGGGGTATATTAAAGAAGAAAATGATAGATCTACTAAAGGTGAATTAAATAAATATTTTATTTTTTAAAATTGAGAAATAGGTAAGTAAATTAATACAAAGTCTTGTATGTATCCTAGAGGTCGGTAAAGTCGTATTTGCGGGATCCCGCGTCGGAATTTTTTCTCAAAATCTTTGCGGGACGGGATCCCGCGGGATAAATCCCGCAAAATCCCGCAAATCGAAAAAATGCGGGATTGCGGGACGGGATCCCGCAAAATCCCGCGCGGGATCCCGTCCCGCACCGACCTCTAATGTATCCTCTACTAAATTAATGATCGGTTAAATAAAATTATTTGAAAAATTTTTATTTTTGTTTGATCCGATCTCTATTAACTAAGATAAGAAGACTAAAAAATAATGATAGAGGGTTATTATATCTGGACCTGCATGCCACAATTATTGATAATTTTATCAATTAATTTTTTTCAATGATTTAAAGTAGAAAAATAAATTTCCATTTTTTTTAATTTAAATTTTTCAAGTTCTTGAATTTCATCAACCCGAAGAAATGGCTAAACTTATTGATCTAAATATTCCTGAAGATCCAATGTCGTTAAATGAATTACTTAAGGTGTTTTTAATTAATAGAGGGAAGAAAGGGGTTTACAAGTTTTTTTAGTCACATTTAGGGGGAAAATACCTTGAAATTTTTTTAATCAAAGGGTTTTTAGCACTATTTATTGTCTAATAGTACACACATTTTATAAAATTTTATTTTTTTCCAGTCTTGTAGTGAAGTTCTACGTCTGGGTGTCCGTACAGGACATCCACATTTTTTTAATCAATTATCCCAAGGATTGGATTTGATAGCGATGGCTGGGGAATGGTTAACTGCTACTTGCAATACAAATATGTTTACTTATGAAATATGTATGTATTTGGAGAATTTTTTTTTGAAAAAAATTTTTTCAGCGCCTGTTTTCATTTTAATGGAAAAAGAGGTAAATAAAAGAGAATATAAATTTTAATTTTAAAATTCAAAAATCGGTTTTCGAAGTATTTTACTACTTTTTTATTGTTAGACAACAAGAAGGACAATAAGGGATATTAAAATAGAGAAGGGAGAGGGGGGGGAGGGGACTCGGAATTGTCAAAATATACTTTAATTAGTAAGGTTGGCGGATCCGGAGGAAAAAGGCGGGATATCCGGAAATTTTCGGTTCGGATATCCGAAGATTTCCGACTATCCTCCAACCTTATTACTCGGTACCCAACCAAAAAACCATTCAATTTGATTTAAATTATAATTTAATTTAAAATAAAAGGTAACTAAAAGAATGATTGAATTAATTGGTTGGCCGACAGGAGATGCTATATTTTCACCAGGCATTTTAAAAATAAAGATTTGATAATTTTTCTATTTTTAGGTGGTGCAATTGCTAATTTGTATGCAGTGAATGCTGCTAGGTAAGTAATAATAACATAATCAAGACTAATTCCCCATTCTAAACAAATTCCCCATATACTAGGGAAGGGTTAATTTTTCACCACAAAATTCCTCGTGCAAAACATTTAGGGATGGTGTCAATTCCCCCACTTTGTTGTTTTACTCCTGAACGCTCAAATTTCAAAACTCGAATAATTCCCCTCCTTCGAATAATTCCCTATCCCACGGATGGGTTGGAATATTAATTCCCAAGGGGAATTAATAGATTAAATACGGTATATTAAAATTTGCCCATTTCGTCACATAACCACCGTAAACTTATTTCAATAATTTTTTTTAAAAATCCTTTCCCTTAATTTTTTAGACATGCAGTTTTCCCTCGTGCAAAACATTTAGGGATGGTGTCAATTCCCCCACTTTGTTGTTTTACTTCTGAAGAGGTCTTTTAAATTTTGTTTTTCTATTTTTCCCTCCAATTTAGAGTCATTATTCAATAAAAAGTGCTGCAGCAGTTTTGGGTATTGGGGCAGACAATTGGTTAGAGAAGAGAATTTAAATAAATTAGTACAAAATTAATTTTAAAAACAGTTTTAATATTCCAACGGATGCCTCAGGCAGAATGCTTCCTAGGGCTTTGGAAGAACAAATAATTAAAAGTAAAGAAGAGGTAAGTAAAAATTGAGGGGATTTTAATAAATAATGGAAAATTTATTAAAAAGTTAAATTTGTCTTTGCGGTCTCTCATGCAAACGTGTAGTGTCTTACACTCTCTAACTCCGTGTCTAACCAAAATCCGGAAGAATCCGTTTCTGAAATACAGAAAACATTACAACAATGTTGTTTCTGTCTCTCACGTATACCTCATTAAATGTTTTCCGGAAATTTCCGGATTCTGAGTTAGAGAAAAAAGAGATAGTACAGTTATTTAAGAGAGCATAATAGATAATCTTATCTGTCCCTTCTTTTACCTGTCCAGTTACTAAGAATTTTCTAATAAAAAATTTTCAAAGGGTCTCTATCCTTTCTTTGTTTGTGCAACGGCAGGTAAACATAAATTCTTTTAAAATGTTCTCTTATTTTCATTTTTAAAGGAACAACAGTTTATGGCGCTTGGGATCCAATAGAAGAGATTTCTGAAATTTGTGAAAGACACAATCTTTGGCTACATGTTGATGTAGGGAAAGATTTTATTTTTAAACAAGAAATTTTTTGAAGGCAGCTTGGGGTGGTGGAATTTTGTTAAGTCCAGAATACCGACACAAATTGGCGGGAATTGAACGTGCAAAGTCTGTTACTTGGAATCCACACAAATTAATGGGGTCTTTACTTCAATGTTCTGCTTGTTTTGTAAGACAAGAGGTGAAAATAAAAATTTTGTTGACCTTTTTAAAGAAAAAATTTTGGGGGTTAGCCAAAACATGTAAATGCATGTTTTGTGCCTTGGGAAGGGAAAATAAAAAATGGTGTTTTTAGTATGTTAATCTGAACTGGGGTTGGCGGTTTCAGATATTTAGGGATTCCCCTAGGTCCGCCAACCTTAATCTGAACATAATCATGACAAATATTTTGTCAAAAAAATTAATTTTGAAGGGTTTACTCTTCCAAGTCAACCAAATGTCTGCGGATTACCTTTTCCAACAAGACAAACCTTATGATGTAAGTTATGATACTGGAGATAAAGCAATTCAATGTGGTCGACATAATGATATATTTAAGGTTAGAAATGGGAAAAAATACTTTGAAAAAATTTTGTTTTTCAAGCTTTGGTTAATGTGGCGTTCAAAGGGAATGGTAAGTAAAGAATTAAACAAAAATATTAATTAAAATATTAAATTTGAATCTCCTCTTAAAAATATTCAACTCACTAACAAATAAGCGACTAGATGGAAATTAAGTGAAACGGGAGGGAGGTAGGGTAGGGGAAATCACAAAAATCTTAAATTTTTTGCACACTTCCCAAGTACGAGCAAATTTTAAATGTCCCTTGCTTTTAAAGCAGAACAGGCAGAAAAAACCAGACCTGTGCATGGACACGGATTTTGGTATCCATATCCGGATATTTGCGGCGGATACAGGCGGATATCCACAGGCATCCTGATATTATTTGTACCCGTATCCTTGCACAGGTCTGAAGAAAACTATCAAAAAAAAAAGGGAAATAAATAAAAGTATTGGAACTTTAAATTTTTTTTCTCTAGGAAGGCTATCGTCGTCAAATTAATCGTCTTATGGTAATCAAAATTATTTATTTAAATTTAATTTTAAAAAATAAGGATATGGCCAAATACTTTACTGAAAGAATTAAGGCAACTGAAGGATTTGAAATGGTTGTGGATGAAGTGAGTTGTTTAGTTGGAAAATAAATATTTTAAATTTTTTTTTGTTTTAGCCAGAATTTCTGAATATATGTTTTTGGTAATATTTTATTTAAAAAAACCTAATCTCTATCTTATTCCATCTTTGTATAAATTTACCAATCTCTCAGTTATCCCTCGATGAGATAATTAGAAAATTGAGAAATGTGTAAGATACCGTATAACCTGTATTAATTGCCCTCATCAAATAATTACCCCCACTTGGATTACACCATCCGGCGATAGATTGAAACAATAATTACCCCCAACAAATGCCCTAAAACACGTTCAAATTTCAAACATCTTATATGTAATTTCCCTCTCTCGATTAACTACTCCCTCCAACGGAAAGTCGAAACAATAATTACCCAGTGTAGTTGTTAAAGGATATACGGTAGTTTAAAGATTTATAGGGATACCTCAAAGTTTGGAACAATTTTGAGATTGTAAAAGTCAAAGATTGGGATAATATAGAGTATTTTTCTCTAAAAATGTGTTTTTTGAGGTATGTCCCAAAAAGTATTCGAAGTGTTGATTTGAGAGAAAAAATGAGCCGTTTAGAAAAAATTGCCCCAAAAATAAAAGCGCAAATGATGAAAAGAGGGACGACAATGGTGATTTTTGTTGTTGAAATTAATAAAAAGAAAATTAATTTTTAAAGGTTGGATACCAACCAGATGAACATAAAAAACGTCCAAATTTTTTTCGAATGGTTATTTCGAATTCTAATGTTCAGGTAAGGAGTTGAGGATGTTTTTTAGAAAAAATTGAAATTTTTTTAGAAGGTTGATTTGGACTTTATAATTGATGAAATAGTTAATTTGGGGTATGATTTGTGAATGAAAGATAAAAGAAGAGAAGAAAATTAAAAGGAAGACATGAAAAAAATAAAATAACAAAATAATACACAATTTACACAAGCTTTATAATTTTTAAAAAGTAAAAGGAATTTGCCTAATTAATTTTAATTAGAGTAGGTATTTTTGTTTGCGACTATTTGGAAGAAAGGGGGCGAATATGTGGACTTTTCAGGAGAACATTTCAGAAAAAACTTGCGATTATGTGGCCCGTTCTGTTGGTAATTGACCATTTATTCGCAGTCAAATAAAATCGAATTTACCGTATTTCTTCTAATAGTGTGACTTTCTCTATTAGATCAACCCCTTCTAATAAACCACCCGGTAGCCCTATTAGAAGAAATGAGGTAATTGAATTTTGAACAAAATTAGTAAATCTTGAATATATCTTTTAGCTTTATTTTTGCAAAGAAATCACGTTGTTTAATTTAATCACAAATATTTACTTTTGATCGATACACATTTCTTTCTCACTAAATTATCATTGTTTTTAATTTTATTTTTTTTTATTTTTTAATTTAATCAAAACTATAATTTATTATTTCTCCAACAAAAATTTTTTTTCTAAATTTTAATTTAAAAAAACAATGAATCTTCGTCCGAGAGCTGTTAATTTCGACGATGTTTGGTCAAAATTGAAAGAAACTGCGGAAGCTATAATTTCTTTAAAGCCAATTGAACGGTTAACGTGGGATCACAATTTTAGGTTTTTTAAAGAGAAAGAGTGGTAATTCCAAGGCTGGTCCCCCCCCTTTTTTCCTTTCTATTTTTTTCGATTTTTTAAACTTTTTATCGCAAATTATATATCGTTCGAAAGAGCTCTTCAAGCTGAATCGAATGGTACTAAATTCATCGAAATCTGACTTAAATAAACATAGTTATGACCATTTGTTTTAATCCCTTTCAACATCACAAAAAGCATGTCCATCGAGAGGATTTGGCTTCATAATTCTGCTCAGAATCTCTAAATCTGACCGATCATAGTATCATTCTACTCAGCTTGAACAGCTCTTTCAAATGATATATTGTAAATTATATGTCAAGCAAAAAAGCTCAAAATGGTCAGGGAAACATAAAAAAAAAGGGGGGGGGGGACCAGCCTTGGAATTACCGAAAGAGTTTCTTAAAAATAATTTTTAATTTATTTTAGTGACATTTACTTTGTTTGTGTGTCTGTTCCAGAAACACAATCTAGACAACTCTATGCTGCTGTCAGGGATTGTTTGGAAATTCATACAAAGGAATTGCGTCGGGTAGGGATTTTTGGAGTTTTTTAATTTTTCTAAAACTACTTTTGCGGACAATATTTGCGGATGTCCGCAAATAAATAATTCAAGGGCGTAGCTTGGCGGTAGATTTCAGGGGGCTAAAATTGGATGTGCGCAAAAATTTTGGCGTTTACTGTGACGAAAATTTCACTTTTTTTCTCAATCCCCTTCTCAAATTTTTCCCTTTTCCCCATTTCGGGGGGGGGGGCTTTAGTTCTAGAAGCCTCCCTCCCTGGCTACGCCCTTGAATAAATATATAAAATCCTAAAAAGATTCCTTAATTTTCCAGTCTTTGGAAGATCAAACTGGTGATAATCTTTTGAGTGCCTACAACCGAGAATGGAGCAAATACAAACAGGGAGCGGGTTATTTACACAACCTCTATTGGTTTGGTTTCTAATTAAAGTATTTGTTATGTATATTTTTAACAGTTATTTAAATAAACAATTGGCCAAAGAGAAAATGGATGCAGAATCTCAACATACTTTTATTGCTGATGATTCCGAAGGGCCTTTTCCACATTTGGGTGTTGGAGACGTAATGTTATTTTAATTTTCTTTTTTATAAAGGCATTTCTTCTTCCTAAAGTTTTTTAAAATTAATTTTTGGATAGGGAATTAAAGGCTCATAACTTGAAACTAAAACTTTTATAAAAGTTTCAAGGGATTAGCCAGGGGTCGATTCCTGGGTGGGGACTAACATGGGGTGTGCGCCAAAATTTTGGCGTTTTCTTTGGCGTTCCGAGCACAAATTGTCTGGATCTAATATTTTCCTGTTCATGTTCAATATTATCATAAGTGTCTGTGGGCAAGGTCCTGTATTTAAAAACTAAAAAGATTTTTTCTAATTAAATAAAGAACAATTTTTTCTAGTTAGCATTCGCAATTTGGAAAAGAGAATTAATTATTCCACTAGCTTCAAAACTTGTTAAACACATTATTGGATTAATTCAACAAATTAGAAAATTGGAAGGAACTTATTCTGCAATTAATTTGGCTGATATTAGAGGGGCTATACTTTCTTTTGTTGAGGTTAAATTTTTTAGAGAAAATTGTTATTTTTGATTGAGAGTACTACAAACAAATATTTTTTTCAACTTTTAAGGTAAATGAATTATTTTTGAATGAATCCTTTTTGGGACAACAAAAATCGCCTTTTACTTTGGCTGGAGGAAATTCTGTCACTGAGGTTATATTTACCAATTAAGTTTTTGTAAAAATATTTCTTTTTAAGTTTTATGAGGAAATGTTCGAAAAACATTTTCTGGAAGCAACAGAAAATTTTTATAAAAGTTTGACAAGTGAAGCTTTTGTTTGTTTAGATTGTTGTCCTTATATGGAGGCGGTAATATATTTAATTTTAATTAAATTTGTTAAGTTTTTGTTTTACTTTTTGGGCTCTTTAAAATTTTTTTTAATTTTCTGTGGTAAAAAATTCAAACTGTGGTGTTTTGAATTTTTAAAAATTAATTAAATAGATCATGTTTCCCTCAAAAATTTAAAATTTTTTGACTACGGATTTAATAAATATGTCTGTTAAATGAATTGATTAACTGGTCTTTAACAGAAATGTCTTTATTTTTTACGAAAAATAACTCTAAAAATTGAAAAATAATTTTCTCTCATTTTCTTGTAATTTTTCTAAAATTTCCATTTTTTCTAAAGGTAATAAAAACTCTTGACGAAGAACGAATTCTTGCCCAACGGTTTCTGCATCACAGCACACTCCCAAAAATTGAAAATTTATGTTATGAAGTTTTGGTTAATGAACAATTAGAAAAAATAAGTTTAATGTGTAAAGATGTTGTTCAAGGGGAATTATTGAAAGGTTTTTTTTGGATTTTTTTCAGAATTTTAAATTTTTAATTTTATTTAGATTTAAAAAATATGTATATTTTATTTAAACCTCTAAACAATGCTTTGCCTATTTTATTAAAAGAATTTGAAAATTATATTAAAAAATTGGGAATGGAATTTAATGTTTCATCTACTGTTGATCCTGCACAATTTGTTGGAAATATTACAGGTTTTTTTAATTGAAGAGAGGATTGGGAAAATCTGATTTTATTTTGTACCATCCTCACAAGGAACCATCTACTATAACTGCAATTTGATTTTTTTAGTACCATTCGATGGATGGTCCTTAATTGAACGGTACCAAAAAACCAAATTCACAGTTACAGTTAAAGATAGTTTCTTGTCAATAAAATTATTCTGTCCAAACGGAGAGGGAAATTTTTTTAATAAAATTTCAAAACAAAGAAAAACATTTTCCTTGAATCATTTCTAACATTTTTTGTTAATCTTGGTATGTTAGTTATGGTTTGGGCTCCTGGAAGAAGGAGTGGAAGGTGAAAATCATTCCAAGCCTACCTAAAAATTTGTTGTCTGCAGAAAAAGAAAATCTAATTTTCCACGCCTTTACAGAAATTTGAAATAATTTTTAAATTTTCCACAGATTTGCACACAAAATTTACTCAAATGGTTATTGAAATATTTTCTGGTGATGGGGAATTTACAATTTCCTTGGATAGAGCAATTCAATCAATTGTTAATTATAGAGAAGATCCAAAACAGCCTCCAAAAATTTCTGAAAAATTAAATCGTTATATTGATATTTTAATGAAAACAAGAAAAGGAAGAACGGAAGCGGAAATTGAGGCTCAATTATCTAAATCAATTCTTATATTTCGTTATATTGACGATAAGGTTTTTTTAGAATAATTTTTGGAAACTAAATGTTGGATAGTTTGGGACGGGGGTATCGTTAATTTTACTAATAAACTTTTATTGAAGAAAAAAGAATTTTGACCTCGTCCGATTTCTATTGATTTAACCCTGGCTGAGAAAATCGGAATTTATAAGACCGTATTTTCTCGAATAATTTTTTTCTTCAACCCTTTTTTGACATGGGGAATTAATCGAGGGATGGGAATTATTCGAGTTTTGGCATTTGAACGTGCAATAGGATATTTGGGGTGGGGATTTATTGTTTCAACACAACTCTAGCATGGGGAATTAATCGAGATAATTCGTTAACCTGTCGTGTTTTCTGAATTTAATAAATATTAAAAGGATCCCCAATTCTTGCCTGAAAATTTCTTTAGAAAGTTTCGGTTAAAAGTGAGCTTCTATTTTGCCAAAAAATTTTGAAATCGTTTAATATTTAAAAAACATGTTTATTTTATTAAATAAATCTCTTCTTAAATAAATTTAAAGGACCTGTTCCAAAAATATTATTCAAAAATGCTTTGTACTCGTTTAATTGCCAGTTTATCATTCTCAATGGATTTGGAAGAATCGATGATTAATAAAATGAAAGATGCTTGTGGTTATGAATTTACAAGTAAATTATCTCGAATGTTTACGGATGTAAATGTCAGTCAAGGACTTACTAAACGATTTTTGGAGGTTATTCAATTTTTTGAGGTTATTTAAAATCTGGGATTAATTTGGACTTGAATTTTTTGAAAGTTCCGTAACAAATTTCAGAGTATTACATATAGACTGTGAATCTCCCCAAAAAATATTTATGGGCAGAATATGTGCAAGTTCGTGATTCGATTTTACTTAACGATAATCATCACGAAAACTTGTTTCAAAAAGTGTTGAGGGCTACATGCTTTGTGAATAAAGATTTACAAATCCTATACCACTCATAGATTTAATTAATTCTTAATTTTATTTAAATTTCAAAAAAATTTTAAGGAAATGGTCAAAAATAATAAAAAACTGGAGGTATCAATTTCCGTAATGGTTCTACAAGCAGGTGCTTGGCCTCTAACTGCCCCTCAAAATGCTTCGGAACCATCTTCCTCTCAAAACCAAAGTGAACAAAATGGTGATTATGCTCCCCCAATAATTTTGCAAAAATCTTTGCGTTTGTTTGAGGAATTTTATGGAACTAGCCATTCTGGAAGAAAATTAACTTGGTTATATGCTAACTCTACAGGTTATTTTTTAAATTGTTAATTTGACCCCTTAACAAGTTAGGAAGATGGTAAAGACCGGTGACTGTCATAGTCAACTTTGTTTTTAGCAAAGGGAAATAGCTCCTCTATTCAGTTTATGAATAGGGCTGTCTTGAACTGCTCAATTTTATTTTTGGAGCGGGGATTAGTTGGTACTTTTGACTGAAGATAATTAAAAATTAACTAGGGGATTTACACATTTCTGTTCTTAATAAATTTCCACCTTTTTTTGATTATTTCTAATCTTTTTTAAAAAATAGCTGATGTTCAAATGAATTATTTGGATCGCAAATACCAAGGTTTTTAAATTGGAAAAAATATTTTTTAATATATATTTTTATTTTTTAGCAACAATGAGTGTCCACCAAGTTTATTTTTTGTCTTGTTTTTTAATTCAGAAAACTTCTCTAGTTATCTATTTTGCTACAATATTCGAATCAAGATGTCTTTCAACTTGGCAACTTTGTCCCCTTAACTGCTCTTTCTCTTCCAACAATTATTAGGGCAGCTAAAGCGCTTGTAGAAACTGGATTTTTAATTTCTAACGAAGTAAAGGTTTTTTAATAATTGAAATGATTTTAATTTTTGGTGGGTTTTTGATAATATTGGATTCAGATTTTGGTTTATGATAATAATTCAAACTCATTATTTTTGAAGTTCCGTTTAAATGTGGGGAATAATGTCAAGAAAAAGATTTTTATAAAGAATTGTTAAGCAGTAATATTTTTTGGAATTATTTAAGTGTTTAACATAAAACCCCAGGCTTGGTAATAGATATGGATACAGATAAGTTCAAAATGCCTGCGGATCATCTGTATCCGCCGTAACTATTCGGATAACAAAATCCATGTCCATTACTAATTGTAAGTTTGGAAAACCCAATAGAACAAAATTTCACATTTTGACAGAATAATAGAGTTTTGTGAATAAGAAGCATTATTTTGGAAATAAAATCGAATTTTAGGGGGTAAAATTTGAATTTTTTCAATTAAGGAAATTAATTTTTCTTTTCAATTTTAGAAAGATTTAACAGAACTTTCTGTTTTAACACTCAATACTTCATTTTATTCTAAACGAATTAATGTCAAAGTAGCACTCCCTCAATCAAGTAAACCACAGGAAAAGGAAGCTGAAGCAACATGCAATACATTAATGCAAGACAGAAAATATTATATGGAATGTACTATTGGTATTTAAATTTATTTTTTTAATTAAAAATAATTTTTTTGTAGTAAGAATTATGAAAGCAAGAAAAGTAATGAAACATAATTTGTTAGTTGAGGAGGTTTGTATATTTTGTTAAATAAAAAAATAAGGTTTCTTGTAATAAGGTTGCCCCCTCCCCCGTGGCAAAATTTTTCTCTGATTGTGAGCTCTTTGATTATTCTTTTATTTATTTATTTATTTATTTATCAGCAAACCACAGGTATTTTAAAATACATTAATGTGGTGCAAAAAAAAAACATAAAAAATAAATTAATGTCAAAAAAAAAATATATATATGTAGGAAACAACATCAAAAATAAAAATAACTTTAAAAATGAACAATAAAAATAAATGAATTTAATATTACACATAAAAAAAAACACAATAACGCTCAAGGTTAATTTTTCCAAAAATTTTATTTAGATTGTGATAATTTAATAAAACTTCTAAATTTTTTGGGATCATTTATTTTAAATGATTCATTTGGAAGATTATTCCATTTATTTACCACCCTATGAAAAAAATTATTTTTTGTTCTGTTCGTGTGTTTTTTAATCCTTAGAAGTAGAGGCCTGCGAAGTGATCTATTTGAAAAATTAAAATAATTTTGGGAATTAAGAGATGTAAACCCTTTTATAATTTTAAAAGCAGTGGAAAGATCGGCAATCTTTCTTCTATCTATTAACTTTTCAAGTTTGCAAGTATTTAATCTTTCTTCATATGGGACCTTGATTAATCCACATTTTTTGTAAATATTCTTAGTGAATAGTTTTTGAATTCTTTCGATTTTATCTATTTGATATTTCATGTGTGGATTCCACACTTCAGTTGCATATTCTAGCTGGGGTCTTATATAAGTTTTATAAATATTAACAAGAAGATTTAAGTCTCTAGACTTAATGATTCTTGTTATTTGGAAACTTTTTAGATATGCATTTTTTATAACCATATTTATATGGTTATTAAAAGATATTTTAGAATCAATTAAAACTCCAAGATCGCGAATGCATTCTGTTTCTTGTATTTTTAATCCATGAATGTTATACTCTCTTTTCAGGTTATTTTTCCCTAGATATAAGGCAAAGCACTTATGAGGAGATATTTCTAAACCATTTAACTCTGTCCATTTTTCAAGTTTCCATAAAGCTTTATTAAGTTCATCCCTTTCTATGCCATTTCTATGAGCTACATATAGTTTTACGTCGTCTGCATATAATTTTATTCCAATGTTTTCAGGGATTTGATTCGGAAGATCATTTATAAAAATAAGAAATAGAAGAGGTCCTAAGACACTACCTTGAGGTACACCTGAGAATGTTTCATATTCGCAAGATATTTGGTCACCAATCTTAATCTTGAAATTTCCATCAGATAGAAAATTTTTAAGAAATGTATAGACTTTTCCACTAATGCCTGCTTTTACTATCTTATCTAGAAGAATATTTATCGGTACAGTGTCAAATGCCTTAGCAAAGTCAATGTATATGATATCTATACTATATCCATCTTGTATTGCATTATATAGATCATTCATTGTGGATAATAACTGTGTTGTTGTGGATCTTGATTTAAGAAACCCAAACTGATTTTGATTAAAGAACTTATTATCTTCTAAGTATTTTACTAATTGTTTTGCGATAATTCTTTCTAAAATCCTACACAGGGTGCATGTTAACGATATTGGACGATAATTGTTTGGATCTGATTTTTCCCCTTTTTTATATAGAGGTATAATAAGTGACGATTTCCAAATTGATGGAATTTGCCCATTATCAATAATAATTCTAAAGGTATCTGTGATTATTTTTGCAAGTGAGTCAGCGCAATATTTAAGTAATATATAAGGTATATTGTCTGGAGAAGTAGAATTTTTACTAGGAAGTGATCTGAGGGTATCCCACACAATACTAGTACTTAAATCTATGTCTGTAAACTTTGATTCTGGAATTATATTTCCATCGCTATCTGAGAGATTAATGCTTCTTTTTTGAAAATTCTTTTGAAACCCTTTTCCCAAAATATTACATTTTTCTTCATCGCTGAAGTAAAATTTGTTTTCTTTATCAATTAGACAGGGAATATTATTATCTTGCGTAAGTTTTCTCTGAAATTTTTGTTTTTTTTACTTGACCTTAGGGCAAACAGCTGCAAACCGAAGATATTGTTACTACATATTACTGCAAAACTAATTTTCATTTATAACTAATTTTCACTTAAACATTCTTGTTTTTTTGCAGAAAATGGGAGATAATAATATTCCTCAAACAAAATCTCAAGTTAGCGAGGCATTACTACGCAGTTTTTTCTTTGATGTTTTATCATTCAATAATTTATCTGAATTGGACGAATCGAGGTTATTTTCTTTAATTTTTGTAATTTATTTTTGATATTTTAGCATTCCATCTTCTTTGGAAAATTCTGGTCTACAAAGTCTTGTTGCTGATATCGGAAGACATTTTGTGCCTTCTAGTTCTCATGATGAACAATTAACAATAAGGTAGGTTATGTTTATAAAACTTAATTGGTAGTCTATAACTCCATATTTTGGTCTCGGTCTGTTCTTAACTAGGTTTTTTGGCATGTTTAAATTTATTGATTAATTTTGGCCATCCCCTTGAGATTCAACTATGAGTTCTACAGGATAGAGGCCTTTTTAAGGATGCTGAACCAGGCCCGTAGCCTGGGGTTTCTTCCGTCGCAAAAATTTGGCTCCGAAAGTGTTTTTCCTTGTTGCCCCTAGAAAATTTTTCATGGCTGCGGGCCTGTGCCGAATTGTTAACTTTTTGCGTATTATCTGCCATCTCCCTGTTTAGAACCCTTTCAAATATCAGAAATTTTCTTCAACTGCTTCGTTTAAATTTTTCTATTCTAATATTAATTTAAGTCTGCCGTCAACTTCAAGTGCCGTTAATGAAGAACAAGCTCAGTTCAAACCTATCCAAATCCAAATATTTATTGATGCAAACAATGTTTTTTTGCAATTTTTTAAATTTAATATTTTTATTTAAGGAAGTTGATGTTGATCAACCGTCAACTAGTTCATCATTGGATAGTTCGCAAATGGATTCTCTTCAGGTGTGTTTTTAAATATTTTGCTTATAATTTCTTACATTCTTAATTTTTATAATTTCCTGTTAGCTTTCAAGAAAAATTGTCGAAAATTCGTTAGGAAAGAAGGTCCCAAGAGGTTTCTACCTTCTTTTTAAACGCTGTTAAAAAATGTGCAAATTTTTGTAATTTACCTATTTTACTTCCTCTCATCTGGCTTTCTTTCTTTAAAGTCTTTGTAGCCGTCCCTAATTTAATTATATTTTTAAGGATGCCAAAGTTTATGAAAGAATAAGGGAATTGCGTGAGGCAGGTCTTTGGGAATCTACCCGTCTTCCAAAATGTATGGATCCACCAAGGAGAAAAACACATTGGGATTTCTTTATGGAAGAAGTTTTGTGGTTGGCAAATGATTTTTCGAATGAAAGAAAATTTAAGCGTCGATTGGCTAGCAAAGTTTTTTTAATTTTGTAATTTAATTTATTTTTAAAATTTAGTTTGCTTCTAATGCAAAAGCTTCATGGCGTAAAATCAAAGAATTGAAAAGAATAAAGACTACATCAGAATTGTTAAGGGATGAGAAAGAAGCAAAACGCATTTGTGGATCAATAGCTAAAATGATTCGTGAATTTTGGCAAAATGTGGACAAAGTTGTGGACTTTAGAGCAAATGTAAGTAATTTATTTTTAGTTTTTTTTTTGGAATTTAAATTTTGAAATTATTTATATAGCCAAGCGCGTAGCCTGGGGGAGCTTCTGAGGCTATAGCCCCCTGAAATCGACCTCCTGACTGTGCCCTTGTAGCCTTGTATCTTCCTCGTTTTTAGTCTGCTTCAAGCCAGGGGTGGACTTCTGGGGCTAAAAAATTTTTGGCGGACACCCAATTTTAGCTCCCTGAAATCGAACCCCTAACTACGCCCTTGGTCTGCCTTGCATATTTTTAGCTCCAACACGAAACATTTTTTAACCATCAAGATCTATCCTCTTTCTTAAAACTAATTTAAAATATTTATTGTTAGGAAATTGTTGAACTTAAAAAAAGAAGAGCTCTCGATCAACATTTAAACTTTCTTGTTGGTGCTGCTGACAAAATAACTTCACTAATTCATGAAAATTTTGCTACTCAATCCAATGGACGTTCTTCTACTGTTCTTTCTAAAAGTTCGGATGATTTTGAAATGGACAGTGAAAGTGATGATAATGAATCAACACTTGATGTTGAAGAAGCAAATGGGACAAAAGGATCAGTTGAGGAAGAATTAGATGAATTAAGTAAAGAACAAGATATGGATATGGATCAATTACTTACATCGGTTTGGTTTTTATTTATTTACATATCTTTTGCCTAGCAAGATTTTATCTTTTTTCTTTCATTTTATCTATTCTTCATCCTCCTCCTCCAATTTTAACTAAATAAATCTTACAAGGAAACATTCCGAACTGATGTAAAAATTTCGAAATTTTTTGCACCAAAAATAGGTATTCGGTTTTCGACCATGTTCTACACGATGGTGTTCGGAATGTTCCCTTGTTAACCCTTGTACGCTTTCTCTGTGAAATTTATCTAACAAAAGTTCGTATTTGGAATTTTTTGAATTTAAAATTTTGAAGGTCCATTGGGAATTATTTTTTAATCAAATTTCTTTTAGCTTCCCTTTCATTATAATTAATTTTTTAGTTACCAGAAGGCTATCTTGAATCCTTAGGATATTCAGTTCCTTCAAAGGAAATTCAACCTGATATTAATGAAAGCTTGAATGATGAACAGACTCGAACAACTGCTGATTTAGAACAAGAGGAGGAAAGCACAAATTTTAATGAAAAACCAGATCTTCGAAATGTTGATTATAACAAATTAAATTCAGAAAATAGTGAAGTTAGAAGACAACAACTTGATAATATTGCTGAAGCTGCTTTAGAGTTTCAACCTAGAGGGTATACTTTGGAAACTACAGAGGTTAGATTTTATTTTATTGAAAAGCCCGGATATCTTAAAGCTTTTTAAATAATCCATTTGATGAAAATCTAAGAGAAAATTGGTAGTTACTAATTGCTTGGGTTTTATCAACTACTTTAGTTATGCCCTTTCTTGAGGCTTTCCTTTTTATCTGCTATTTCTAATTTTAAAATTTATTTTCTAGGTCAAAACAGAAGTTCCATTTTTATTAACTGGTCAACTTAGAGAATATCAATTAGTTGGTTTAGACTGGTTAGTAACTTTATATGAAAAGAATTTAAATGGAATACTTGCTGATGAAATGGGCCTTGGAAAAACAATACAAACAATTGCATTACTTGCTCATCTTGCATGCGCCAGAGCTGTTTGGGGTCCTCATTTAATTATTGTACCAACATCTGTTCTTTTAAATTGGGAGATGGAATTAAAGAAATGGTGTCCATCATTGAAAGTTTTGAATTATTTTGGTTCAGCAAAGGAAAGAGCAGAGAAAAGAAAGGTAATTTATTTTGGTTAAATGTCAGGAACAGAGCAAAAAATATTTAAAATTCTGGTTTGAAACTCAAAACTAATGTTAATTTGGTTCTGAATGGGCTTCGTCCCTACCATCCTTTTTTCGATTTTCGGTTTACCTTTAATTTACCCAAACCATTTTCCGTCATGGTGTCATTTTCTGTTTAAAAAAAATTTACTTGTTTTAAATAATATTTATTTTCTTTACCAGGGTTGGTCAAAATCCAATGCATTTCACATTTGTATAACCTCATATAAGCTAGTAACTCAAGATATTCGTGCATTTAAAAACAAAGCGTGGCAATACTTAATTTTGGATGAAGCACAAAATATTAAAAATTTTCGGAGTCAGAGATGGCAATTATTAATTGGATTACGTTCTCGTAGACGTTTATTGCTTACAGGTTTTTTCTAAATTAATTTTTCTCTAACAATTTTTAGGAACTCCTTTACAAAATTCTTTAATGGAACTTTGGGCTTTACTTCATTTTTTAATGCCAAATGTTTTTGCTTCACACGATGATTTTAGAGAATGGTTTCATTGTCCAATAACTGGAATGGTTGAAGGGAATACAGAAGTCGATCAAGCACTTGTTCAACGTTTACACAAGGTTATTCTTTATATTTTTTTTATTAAAGAAAATGTTATATGTTTTTTTTTGTTAACGTCTAGATTGAGAAAAGTTCGACTTAATAATTAAGCAGAGATTTATGTTTACTTATTCTAACCTTTCAAGACTAACCAATTTTTTATTTAGGAATATTAAAATGGCCTTTCTGATCCTTTTCTTTCTTATAGTTTCTTATTTTTAATTTTTATTTTTATAGATTCTTCGCCCATTTATACTTCGTCGGCTTAAATCTGAAGTTGAAAAACAATTACCAACCAAAACAGAACGTGTTCTTTTATGTCATTTGTCTAAAAGACAACGTTATTTATACAATGAATTTTTATCTAAAACATCGTTTGTTTTTTTTATTTTTCTTAAAAATTTTTTTTTAATTTTTTAGAACAGTAGAAAACCTCAAAACAGGCAGTATGTTTTCCGTTTTAGGAGTTATTATGCAATTACGTAAATGTTGTAATCATCCAAATTTGTTTGAACCTCGTCCAGTTGTTTCTCCTCTAATTATTCAACCAATTTCACCTCAATTTTCTTCTCGTATTTTTTCTATCAATCAAAAACTTGAAGCCTCAGAATTGTGTTATGGAAATTCTTTTTCTTCCGATTTTGTTTGGAAAACTTTTAAAGAACTTTTATTAAATGGAAATTTTGGAAATAATTCTGTAGACGAACAACAAATACTTCCTTTAATTGATGGATTGAAATTTGTTATGGATAAAAATGGAGGGCATTTCTATAGGCCTAAAATAATACAAGAACATGGAGAGGATGAATCAATATGCAATAGATTGGAAGAAAATGTTTGTTTTTCTAATTTTTCTTTTGAGAATATAACGGGGAATTCTTGCAAATTTAAAAAATTTCCATTTTGATGGCTGATACTGGATTGTAAATAACTTTTTGGTTTCAAATAGCTCCATTCGGGTTGTCTTATTCTCATGGCTGCCTCTTTCCATTTTTTAAACCCGCCAATCTTTTTTTTCTTATTTTATTTAAAAATTTATTTTTCTACTTTTAGTCTTCTAATCCCATTGAATTTGTTAACAATACAAGAAAACGAAAAATGTCTCCACAAGAAGCAACAACATCATCAGAATTATGTCTCAAAATAAAGGCAAATACAGAATCTACTAGAACATTACCAAACTTTTTAAAATCTCCAAGTTTCCGTTTAAATACATTAATTCACAAGAAAGAAAACGAGAATAAACGAATTGGAGTTTGGTTAAGTACTTCTTTAAAACAATTTTCAAAGCCATTAATATCTACAGAATTAATGAATTTTTGTAGAATTATTCCAAATAATTTTCAATTAGAAGAACCTTTAACAACAAAATTACCAAAAATTAAAAGGTTTAATGGTCAAAGTATTATTGATGAAATAAACGAAAGAATTGGACAAAATTTACTTGAATGGATTGAAAATTCGTTGAATAGGTATTTTGGATTTTTATTTGAGTTGGGGTAAATCAATAAATAAATGGATATTAGAAGCATATTTGAGTCTGAGGAAAAGACCGAGGATTTTCGGTTCATAATATCCGAAAAATCAACTCTAGTTTTGATTTATAGTTTGAAAGGTTCACTTGTAGCTTGTAATGATCTACTAGCTATTTATTATCTATGATTTTTAGTACTCAGACTTAAGCAAATTTGTTTTGATAATTTCTATTTTTAGTTTTCTCATTTGCGTGCAAAGGCTTCTTGTAGAAAGATGTTTTGAACCTCCACAACGTTTCACTTTACAACAAGAGAATCTCCGTTTACTTACACATAATATTTATTCTTCTCAAATTTCTTTGGCACATAAAGCAGAATTAGCAGCAAAATTGGAATTTCCAGAATTACGTTTAATTGAATATGATTGTGGTAAGAAAATTTTTTAATTCTTTAAAAGTTTGGAAATTTTCTCAAAAATATCTTCCATATTTTTACTGGTTATCTGTCTCTATAAAAGTAGAGAAGGCGAAGTATTGCGCGATAAATAAGCTGGTACTTTGTAAGCTAGGGGAAAACAAAATTTTGACTCCTAGGGGAAAAACATTTTTTTATCAATGACTGTCGGAGAATTTGTGGTTCATTCCTATCTGATTGGACTTTAGTTTAATTTTTACTTATATTTGTCTAATTAATATTTTTTTCTTGTTCTTTTAAATAAAAAAATAATTTTATAGGAAAACTTCAAGTACTCGCCAGGCTATTAGAACAATTATATGAAAATAAACATCGTTGCCTTATTTTCACCCAAATGTCAAAAATGTTGGATATACTTCAAGCATTCCTTTCTCACCACAATTATAACTATTTTCGTTTGGATGGTTCAACTCATATAGATCAGAGACAGGCAATGATGGAACGTTTTAATACTGATAGTTCTATATTTTGTTTCATTCTTTCTACAAGATCTGGGGGTATTGGTGTTAATTTAACTGGGGCTGATACTGTTATATTTTATGATTCTGATTGGAATCCGGTAAGAAATAATTTTTGTTTTGGAAATTTAAATATTTAAAATGGAAATTATTGAGTTGGGCGTGGGTTGTCAGAGTTGTCTTTACGGGGACAGACGAAAATATATTTATAAATGGTGACTACTTGTGGATATAAATTTAAAAAAGTTAAGTCCTCCATTACCCAATGGGAAACCGATACAAAGCTCTCCTTTTTATTGTTACATTTATGGCCGCTTTTCTTTGAGTGTGTTTACTTTTTGTAGAAGCTGCCTTATTTTGATTTTTTAAACTTCTTAATTTTTTTAAATAAATCTTTTTTCATAGACAATGGATGCTCAAGCACAGGATCGTTGTCACAGAGTATTTTTTATTTTTACCAAATCTTTTAATTTAAATTAATTGATTTTTTTTCTATAGATTGGACAAACAAGAAATGTAACAATTTATCGTTTAATTAGTGAAAGAACAATTGAAGAAAATATTTTAACAAAATCAACACAAAAAAGGCGTTTAGGGGAAATGACAATAGATGAAGGGGAATTTACTCCAGATTTTTTTAAATCAGCAAATAATTTGAGAGAATTATTTAATAATGAAGAAACTGTTGCAAATATATTAAAAGAAAATGAAGAATTAATTAAAAATAATAAAACTTCAACAAAAGAATTAGAAATGGCTATGTTAAGTGTTGAAGATAAACAAGATGTTTTGGCAGCACAAAAAGCTAAAGAAGAAAATAATGTTGATTTAATTGAATTTGATGAAAATACTCAAATAAATGGAAGAGGAGGTGGAGGGGGAGAAGAACGTGGAAATAGTTATATTGAAAGTCCTTCAGAGCAATATTTGGAATTAATTAATGAGGTGAATTTTTATAGTAGTTTTCTGATTTTTAAACAAGGATGGTTACGGTCTCAGTTTTTTTAATCTTGCCCATATAGTTTCCAATCTGGTCAAAATAGCCAAGATTATCAAACAAAAAAATTTTTCTATTTTTTAAATTGTGGTTTCGATCAGATTTTGTTCTTGATCAGTCATAATTTTTACATTTGAAAATAAAGTTTTATTTTTAATTCCTATAATATAAATTTAGAATAAAAAAACAATAATAAACGTGTTTTATTTTTCAGTTAAAACCAATTGAACGATATGCCGTTAATTTTCTTACAAATGAGTACAGGCCTGCTTTAGATAAAGAATTTGAAGAAACTGAGGTATAATTATTTAAACTTCTTTAAAAATCATTTTTTAAATTAAAGGCCCTAATTCGAGCTAAACAAAAAGAATTTTTGCAAGATAGTAGTGAGGATGATGTTTCTGATAAAGGAAGTATTGTTAGCAAAAAATCATCAAAAGATGGGAAACAACAAAAACATAACAACAAAACAATTGAAGAACAACAACAAAATATTACTTTTGATGCAAATTTAAATGAGGTATTGAAAAAAGAGGAGAGGGTTAGTAGAAAGAATAGTAGTAATTCTCTTAAAAATAAAAAGGGTTCTAGTAGTAATATAATTGTAAAAAAGCGTTACAATACAAGAAATTCATCATTTTCTTTAAATATACCACCAACAACAACAAGTCAACAATCATCAAATAATAATTTTGCTATCCCTCAATTACCTCAAACAAGCAGTAATGGATTTGGTAGTAGTAATAATAAGAGCAGGAAAAAAGGCTCTTAAAAACTATTTTTAATAATTTCTAGGGTGTTTTAAAATAAAAAAATTTAGAAAAAAAAGATTTTATACGAGTATTTTTTTGTTTTGTTTTTTCATCTATTTTTTGTAGTTTTGTTGGATTTGCCTTTTTTGGTTGTGAAGAATCAAATTAGAGGAAACGATTAATAACCCTTCAAAATATTTTTAGATATCTCTGTACCCCCCCCCCCCCACATTATCAAATACACCTTTACTAATAATAACTACAATTTTTAAATTTATTTAGCTATTAGGTGGAGATGTATCCTAGGGGTAATATTCACTTATATTTAAAATAAATACTTTGACTACAAATAATTTCTATTTTTTTCAAAAAGGCAAATCTACTTTAAAAACTTTTTTGTTCAATTGTTTTATTATTTACCTGCCAATATTCTTCTCTCTCTCTCTCTTTATTTTTATCATTATTATTACACCTCTTCTATATATCCAAATCTTAAATATATTTTATGCGTTTATTCTCAATCACATCAACTGCAAGACTTTGCTCTTTTGTATAATTGAAAGTTTTAAAGAATCTTTTTTTGGAAAAGAAGATTTTTTTATAATAAATAAATTTATTAAAATTTTTGGAGCAATTGTTTTCATCGCGAGGCCTTGCTCTTTAAAAAATATTTTTTAAAGAAATACAAGCTCCAAAATATTTTCAGATTTTTATTCAAAAGAGCAAGGTTTTGCTTGATGTTAGGGATTGGTGGTTTTGAATATTAAGAGAGGGTTGTAGTGGTAGTGATATAGTTTTAATTTTAAGCGTCGAATTTTTTTAAATTTATTTAGGAAATTTAGAAGAGGCTGGGAGGAGACTTTCCCTATTTTTTAAATTTTCCCTATTTTCTTTCAACATTTAAATTTAAAATTAATAGCAACAGAAGTAGTAACTTATAAAAAATACATTGAAGCTAGTCAAATTAATTAATTTATAGGCCCTCATTTTCCTACATAAATTTCAGTATCTCTTTCCGGAAACTTTTCGGGGATATGAAATTAATTTTCCTGATTACATTTATTTATTTCAACCCATTTTATAAACTAAAAAATTGCTTTATTTTTAGTTACCATTCTTCGCAACTTTGGACATGCCATTTGAAGAAATCCCGGTTATTTCTTTTAAAAAATATTTTTTTCAAATTTTTCTTGTCTATATATTCAGGCTTGGATGCCTCCATCACCACCAAATTCAATTTTAGATTTGGAAGAAGAAAATTGGAATTTTAATTCATTCGAAGATTCATTTTTCTACGAGCCTTATCAAATGACAGAAGAATGTTTACCTCAATTACCTCCACTAATTTCTATTAACGAAATACCTCCACGTATTTCTATTCGAAGACAAAGAAAATTTTTGAATTTAACAACAACAACAGAAGATTATTTGTCTTCTTTGCCTTTATCTCCAAAAATATCCCCTCCTCCACCTTCAATTCCAAAACACAGAAAAAGGACAGGTTCTGCTGCTTCTAGAGGTTCTTCTGTTACAAGTGGAAGAAGATCTCGTTTGGGTAATTTTTGGGAGATTCTTTTAATTTTCTTAATGTTCCCTTCCCTCTTTTCGTAAAATAAAAACACTTTTTTATAGACCAACACAATAAAGGATTACTTTCAATATCAACACCACCAAATACAACAACAACACCCTCAACACTTTTATTATCACCTCCAGGTACTCCTTCACTAATTCCATCCTCAACAACAATTCCAGTAGAAAAAACTACAAGAGAAGAAAAATTGAATACTATTCATCAAAGATCAGTACAACCTTCAAAATCTAATGTTACTATACCTGGAACTGTTCCCTCATCTTCTTTTAGTTCTCTTGATGGTATTTAATAAAAATAAATTTATTTGTTTAAAAAGTTATTTATTTGTTTGGGTTTCCTCTTCGGTTATAGAGAAAACAAGTATTAGTGCTCGACAAATGAATTTTTCCGGTACCGGTAGTACCGAAAAGTACCGGTATCGACCGAGTACTGAAATTTCAAAATTACTGGTATAGTAGTACCGGAAAATACAGAATCGGAACTTTCGTTAGTACCGAAAACTATGTATTCTCAAAAAATTTTCGATTATAGTAAATAAAAATAAAAAATTCAGAATCAATCGAATCAACAGTCAGAAAAAGTCGAAAACAAGCTGGACACGGTCCTATTTCTCGCTACATGTTTGTTTTTCAAAAAATTTGTTTAAAAATTTTTAAAAATTTATAAGTCGAAATAATGGACAGCCCCCTCAAAAATGGGAGGAACGTCTTCCTTCAGACCCTTCACGTTCTGTATTTCGCCTAGTTTGTCCTGAATGGCGTACAAATCCATCACTTTTGAATTTGCCTCAAGGACTAGAGGATCATGATTATGAGGGGCAACCTATTTGGAGTGCTAATGAAGATATTCGACTTTTGAAGGTGTTTTATTTGTTTACATTCTGATAGATTCTGTCTCTCCTAAACAAGCTGGGCATGGTGTTTAGGAGAGTATTACATTGTCTCTCCTATGTAAATGTACTATCTAACTATCTGAATCTCTAACCAGAATCAGAATACTTTAGGAGTCATAATAATATAGAGAATTAAAGTATTTTACTTTTTCCGGATTTCTTTATTTTCCGTAAAAAGGTTAGACACTAAATGAGAGAGTGAATAACATCATAGATTAATATAAGAGACAAAATCTCCAAAATCAAAATTTAATTAAAATTAAAAATCTAGGCATTAACTTCTAAACATGGAATGGACACATACACAACACCAACAACAACACAAAATGTTAATTCATTCCAGCCAAATTGGGATTTTGTTTCGCAATATGTTAATGTTTGTTCTAGTCATTATAGGTACTAAATACACCTATTTTTATAGGAGAGATTAAAAATTATTTTTTGTTCAGGTCCCCTCGGCAATGTGCTCTTCGATATCAAAACCAAGTATTACATTGTGACGAGTCTACATCCTCCTCATCTTTTGATCGAGGTGAATTATCTCCCCTCCATGTCCTCTTTCAATTTCTAAAATTATTTTTTAAGCTTCCTCTTCACGTAAACGTCAACCAACATCAACCTCATTATTAAATTCAGTTATTGTTGACAACAATTTTTGTAATACAGACACAACAAATTTAGTTCGAAGAAGGGCAGGATTAATAACAGAAATAACAAAACAAAATCGTTTAAAATATTTACCAGAAAAACAACAACAACAACAAACACATCACCACCATTATTCATCCCAACAAATTTTGTGTTTAACTGGAAGATTACCACAACATCAAGAACAACGTTTACTTGAATTAGGGGCTAGATATACAAATGTTGTTAGACCTATGGATGTTTTGGATGTTAAATTTATTAAAAAACAACAACATTTGACAGAAAATAACAACACTAATAACAATAATACATAAATTTGTTAAGGAAAATCAGAATATTTTTTTGTTTCTTCGAAATTCTGATTTTTGTGTTTTTAGAATTTCATGCAATTTCAGCTTTCATAAATTCATTTATTTGTGGATTCAATCAAGATAAAAATGATCTTTTTGTTAACCTATTTTTTTAATTTTTTGGGGTTTCAACGATTTTGAATTATTCTCATCTCGCATTAACTAAAAAGTAATGCCTAAAATGAGGTGTTCCAATTTTTTATGGTACGTAAAGTTTTTCCGCAAAATTCAGTTTCGATTTACTCAATGAACACACTATTAAAAGTTTAAAGGGAAGAGAAAACAGATTCGAAAATTCGGACCACCCCGATTGATAGCAAAGCTACTGGAAGACTCTTTCCAGTACTTCCGAGATATCTCCTATATTATATAGAACGACAAAAAATCATTTAAAAACAATTTATTTACAAACAAACAATATTTACAAAACATCACACTGGAAAATAGGGACAATAAGAATCACACAAGAAAATATGGGGAAATTACATAATAGATATACAATTATGGTGGAAGAATTGTTTTCCTATATTATCACATTTCGACGTCATCATCCTCCGACAACCGCTTACATGTTGTACTCGATTGGAAGGTTCTTGCGGCGCACCATACCGTCACCCTGGAACCACTCGCGGCGGAATTGCTTGGCTGCTCCTTCCGGTGTGTTGGTCCATTCGACGGTGACACGATCGTTGTTGGTCGCTTCCGCAGCCGGATCGAAGGCGTCACAGGAGATGGCGATGTTGATGGCCTCCTTCGGGTCGAGAACACCGTTGGGCGGGTCCATGTTCAGACGGCGAGGGTTGGTCGTCTTGAAGGCGAAGCCGATACGATGCCCACCAGAGTTGATGATCTGTAAAAGTGAGAGATGTTTATTAGTTAGAGGTTAGATTAATAAAAAAGCTGAAAACTTCACCTTCATGTAGTAGGTGTGCTTGTCGTCGAACGGCGCGTTGAAGATGACCTTCACGGCAGGAAGAGTCGTGATGTCGCCGGGTGGAACAGACGCCATTGTTGTTGTTGAGAACGGTTTGTTGTAGCTGGAATTGAAGTTGAAGAGAAAGCAAGTTGGGGAAACTGGTGTTTTACTGCTTCTTTTATACTCTTATGTTCAAAATCAGTATGCTTGAGATCGAAACTATAAAAACCCTGATAATTCTTCAGTTTCCCCAACTTGCTTTCTCTTCAACTTCAATTCCAGCTACAACAAACCGTTCTCAACAACAACAATGGCGTCTGTTCCACCCGGCGACATCACGACTCTTCCTGCCGTGAAGGTCATCTTCAACGCGCCGTTCGACGACAAGCACACCTACTACATGAAGGTGAAGTTTCTTAACTTTTTTATTAATCTAACCTCTAACTAATAAACATCTCTCACTTTTACAGATCATCAACTCTGGTGGGCATCGTATCGGCTTCGCATTCAAGACGACCAACCCTCGCCGTCTGAACATGGACCCGCCCAACGGTGTTCTCGACCCGAAGGAGGCCATCAACATCGCCATCTCCTGTGACGCCTTCGATCCGGCTGCGGAA